AAAAAAAAAAGGCAAGGTGTGAGGAAAGGTCATTCCCTCTTTCCAGTAATCAATAGGGATTGTAGGGGTGATAAATAGTACCATTATGAACCATTTAAGCAGTACCTAATCCAAGCCATGATCTTACTTCCTATGGATCTGAAAGTTGGACAATGAATAAGGATGACAGAAGAAGAATCGATGCCTTTGATTATGGTGTTACAAGAGTACTGAAGATCATGTGGACTGCCAAGAGAACAGATATACCTTGGAGAAAATGCCACTAGCATACTCCTTAGAGGCAAGGATGGTGAAACTTCATCTCACATACTCTGGGTATGTTGTTAGGAGGGGTCAGTCCTTAGGAAAAAACATCATACTGGGAAACGAGGAGGGTTAGAGAAAGAGGAAGACCTTCAACAAGATGAATCGATAGAGTGACTCTTAACAATAGGCTTGAGTGTATCAGAAATGGTGAGGATGGCCCAGGATAGGGCAAAGTTCAGATCTATTGTTCACAAAACTAAGGAGCAGGATATGTAAATAACTTCATAGCAAACACTAAGTGTTACAGTCAATATATATATGATTAACATACTAAATGATGTAGAGTTTTCAGAGGACTGTTATTTCAGAAGGGGACGATAGCCAATCCTGCTTCCTGGTCTGTCTGAATCTGGTACCTCTGCTGAAACCCGACCTCCATGGTAACCCTTCTGGCATTTGAAACACTTGTGGCATAGCTTCCAGCATCACAGCAACCCACGTGTTACCACAGTACAGCAAACTGGCAGACAAGTGCTGCACTAATAACAGCAAACTATAAACAAGCAGGAGACCCATAACAAGATGGATCGGCACAGTGATTGTGGTAATAGGCTGGAGTGTTTCAGATTGAGAGATGACTAGGATGAGGTTCAGATATGTTGTTAATAAGGTCACTAGAAGTCTTAACTCCTAACAACATCCTGCAACCAGTTAACTTTATCCAGTTAACAATTTCCTGTGGTTTTTAATTTGTTTAATTAGCCAACTTCAATTTCCAAACTTGACTAACCTGTTTAATTTCCAATTTTAGAAAAGAAAAAGGCCCTAAATAAGTAAAACACTACTGGAAAAAAAAGTAGGAGGCATCACACTCCGTTATCTCAAAACCTACTACACAGCCATAGTAATGAAGACTGTATGGTACTAGTATTGCAACAGATCAATGGAATAGAATTGAGAACCCAGAAACCAACCCATCTACCGATGGCGAACTGATCTTTGACAAGGAAACAAATGGGCAAACAACAGCCTCTTGAACAAATGGTGCTGGCATAACTGGACATCCATTGGCAGAAAACTGAAGCAAGATTCACACCTCACACCATAGCACCAAAGAAACTCTCAAAGTGGATCCAGGAACCTAGGGGTAAAATTCAAAACTATAAAAACCATCAGGAAACAGATGCTCTGCTGGAGAAGGAGGGACAATCTCCTGTACCTGTCAGAACTGATTTGATGGTCCATGCACAAAAATTAATAAAATTTTTT